TAAGCCAGATTTGCTGACGCTTATGTCCAAATGTATTACAACACTCTATAACCATTTTCCATCACAAATATAAAATAAAAAGATTACCTCTGAGGTCTCTAGGTCTCTTTCACTAACAGAAATGAAATGCTGTTATTTTATGATCAAAAGAACTGATTATTTTCACCATTCCTTTCAATAGCATGCTCTGAAGAAGCCTATTGTTTTCACATATAAGGGTTATAACATCATAAATGAATAAAACATCTTCGCCTTATTGCTAATACCAGCAACAGCCACTCTCTGTAAAAAGACAGAGCATCTATTGAAATGAAAGAACTGAAACTGACAGACTAAGCCAAGGTCACTTCTAAGCCTGTAATACTAGTGTGAGGGAAAAAGCGAAGGGCAATTTGCAGACATCAGTGTAAAAGCACTTAATGTGATCACAGCTACATAAAATACAGCCGGTACCTAACTGGGAACAAAGACTATTTGCTTCATTAAAGATTTTGGTGATTAAGGCCTATCGGTTGCAAAGAATCACGCACCTTAAGAGAGAAAGTTTCTGGTTTTATAAAATAATTGTTTTAACACTGAAGTACATCAAGAGATCGTGTTCCTCAGAACTGAGATATATCAACACCTTTTTTTATATCCACTTTCTCTACTTGGCGTCAAGTCAAAACAAAGGAAGGCACAGGAAATCACTTCCCCAAAGCATTTTCCCCTAGACATCTAATGATAAAAGCTAGGAGGAATCATGTTCAAAACCAGATGTATCAGAGCTGTGGAACTCTTGGGCTTCCAAAAGATGCTGAAAATGTATAGGGATTCAGGGGGGAGAGAGGGAATGAACTTGGCAGGGAAAGCCATCAATGGATACAAAATACACGTGGCTGAGAAAAATCACCTAGATTGAAAGTTGGAGGCTACACTAGTGACGAGCACTCCTGGGAAGTCCATGAGCTTGTCCTTTTCTTACCTCTTTCGTCCCCGTGTGTCTGGTTTTTGGAGCGGGATAAACGGTCTCTTGGTCTGATGCAGTGCTGCTGCTGGAACAGGGGTTTTTTTTGCAGCTCCTCTAGCCTTGACAGATGTTATTTTTCCAATTCTCTTCCTATTCTTATTGGTGTTTTTCAAGGGGTATTTCTACTGAGATATTTCAGGTGAATATATATGAGAGCCATCTCATGCTCTCAGCTTAGGGCTGTAATATATTCACTGTGAGGGAAAGAACAATCTAGCTTTGTAACATTTTCGATTTAGTCACTTAATCACTCTACAGTTTCAGTAAGTTATGCAAAAACAACACATGGAACAAGAATAACACACACTGTTTATGGAACTTCCAAGTATGTTATTTGCAAGATATATAGGCTTACAAAATATTTAAGCCTGCATTGCGTATTATACTCCGGTGATTTTTAAAAAGGAGCCATAAACTCTGCAAACTAAGTAGAAATCAGCTTTCAGAATCCCTGAGACATAAGTTTTTGACACCTGTTATCCCACACATCTGACTAAAGAACTGTGAAAGAAAATATGCATTAAAATGTACTAATTTGTTTAAGTTATTTCTGTATGATTTATTCTGACAATACTGAATTGCCAAGAAAAGTACCACTGCTTCATCTGAAGTTTATCAACAGTAAAACCTCCCCCTGATAAAAAGCAGTTGAGGAGTGTTGTCCATTAAGAAATGGCAACACTTCTGTTGCAAACAACTAGTAGATAATGTAACAGTTATGGTCAGTCTTTACATTTAATTTTTCTCCTATTTTTTTCCAGGCCTTTATCAGAAGTTTTTATTAAAAAACAAGTAGGGAGCTCTTACAATAACTGCAATGGCAAGCATAAAATCCAATCAGAGATCACAAAAAAAAAATACTAAGAGAATTTAAAGCTAGTCAGTTTAAGCTGGTCAAGCAGTTTCTGTGGGTGATGGAAATGGGATTTTAACATAAATCACAATTTAAAGCCAACAAATACTCTACTCCCCGAAAAGCAAACACTAGGAAGGAGAAGCATGGGTTTTCTCCAGCATTTTTTAAATTGGTTTTGTCCACTCAGGTGTCTAGTAACATGGTGCTGTGAAGGCAGAGTGCTACACTAGCATATTTCCTCAAGAACTGTTAAAGCCATGGCTACACCACAGTTCTCACATAGTGCTCATTTAAGTTAAGACAAAAACAAGACGATGCAAGCAGTGGTGCAGGCTGCGAGAGACAGGAATGAAGTTTATTGCAGAGATGTTTCTTCCCTGGCTAATGATCCCACGCAGCCCAACCTCAACCCATTAAGTGTCTCCTCCTGCTCTCCTCCTGCTCTCCTAACAGTGAAATACTGTGGTTTTTACCCATACAAACTTGAAAGTCACAAAGTGAAGATGCTGCTATTTTAGGATTCAGATTCTATCACCTCATTTTTCCATAAGTGATTCATTCACTTTACATCACATTAATTTTGGGAAACTTGCATCAATAGGAACAATGCAGTGGGAAGTCACTTTCAGGTGGACTCCATTCTATCACAGTGTTCATTCCCTAACTATTAATAATTAATCCACCCTAAGTAAGGCCTCTGCATTAATTTTTAATTGAGCATTTATTGACTAACATCAGCAGCAAACACAGTCGCCTTTAACTCACAAGATTGAGAATTTAACAGATTATATTCACGCCTATCTTCAAGCACAAGGAACAAGCAGCAGCACATTGCTGCTAATCCTTAGAAGTATGCCTGAACGCTACACTAACAAAAACTTCTTTGAAAGCAGTCACCCTCCTTTCATGGTTAGAAATCTAGGCAGACCAACCAAGCCAAGAGGCTAGAACAGGTCCAGCCAGAAGTGCCAGAATAAGTTGAGAGGAAAGGGTGAAAACCAAAAAGGGGTAGCAAACTATTGTTTGCTGACCACGTGAAGTCATCTGTCAGTAACTACTGCCTATGAAAGTAAGTTTTTCTTCAACTAACTTATCCAGCATATTTAAATACTATGCAAGGGCACTGTTCTAACATTTAAAGGACACATGCATGAAGGAGTAATGCACCACAACTGAGCCCTTTAGACCCGAAACAGTGCCAACGCACTCACTCTGGCCATCTATGCCACTGTTTTATTTGTTGAAATCAGTATGAGTTACCCTGTCATTCCTCCACTGTAAAATGCAATTAACAACACTGACACAATTGTGGCAAGGATTTCACCTATTTAGAAAAGTGAAACAAATTAGTATTATAGAAATCAGCATTATATAAAATATACCAGCCTGTAAGACACAAAATATAGAAAGCCATTTTCATCCTTGATGATTAAATTACATTTATTCCCATTTAAAATATACAACTTCAAAAAATTATGCATCATACATTCAAATATGAATTGCATTCTTAAGTGTCCTGATATCCAGGTATCCTCTTGCTGGCCAGCATAATACAATAATTTGTCAACACTGTTTATGGCCATAGGAGAAAAATCTCCATAAATAAGTATTTATATCTGATATTGCAGCTTTTCCTTAAACACTTACATTTAGAAGTCAATTTCAGGAGGCCTCTTTCTCCCAAACACTGCTTCTTGTTCCTATAGGAGAAAACAAATTCCAAAGATCCCAAAAAGGGGAAAAAAAAAAAAGTCTAAGTCAGCTATTTTAGACACAGCATTCAAGACACAAGAGTCAGTTTAGCAGGGTCAGAAATAAGCATTCAAGCTAATATTACCACCCAAAAGCAGTTCGAGTAAGCTCACTAACTATGCCATGAATTTTAATGGTCTTTAAGTAGTAATTTAAAAGCTTTAGAAAAATCTATACAAACAGTATCATTAGTACAGCAATACTGTTGCAGGTACCTTTAGGAGTATGGCAAGGAGGCAGAACCTACAGTCCCCTTGAACAAGCACCAATACTGAGAAATCTTTATGGCAGGGTTCCGATGAATTTCGGAAGGGCACGTTGACTTCATTTCAGCCTGGCAGCATGTGTCCTCTGCAGGGTACCCAACATGGGCTGCAGCACTGCTCTGCTTTGAGGCAACTCATTACTGCAGAACTTCGTGTTATTTACAAAACACCAAAGATGCAACAGGCATTTTTTAGACTGTAACATCCCTGCTCTGCAGAGCTTGAAGTCTTCGCTAATATACAAAACACAGCAGGGAAAGAATGAGACTCAAATAGCAATGAGTGATATACAGCATGTATTAAATCAGTTAACTGATGGGTAGGAGATAAGAGCAGTAGTGGGGGCAGGAAAAGTCAGCTGCTGAATGTTACACTGCACGAAGTGTAGAAAAAAAAATTGTAAATGCAGTTATCCCTAATTTAACTCAAGCCAACATCATCACTTCTGTGTCAGAACCAGAGAGAAAAATGTTTATCACTGTATTAGAAAATGAAGTTATTAATAGCTTGGTATGATATCCTAACTTGAGAGAGAAAAATCAACACAGGTATGTTAAAGTTGATAGTTTTTATTTACAGTTTTGTTGGCAAAAGGCAATTGGAAAGTTTAAAACATTTTAAACAGAGGGCACCATATTGTATTGTATGGTGTATCAGTTTACAATCTGTATCTTCCGTATCCAGCTGATCAAATAAAGCTAATCACCACTTGAAGAGGCATAATCTGCATCAGCTCCATTAGAGCATACTGCCTAAAACCACTTCGGGCAGTTTCTAAATCAACACAATCACTAACAAAAATGCAGTTCTGGTGAAGAATGTATACCTGGATGTTTATACTGTACCTGGTACCAAATTGCCCACTTGCATACTGGCAAAGCAGTTACACTTCCTACTTTTAGTTGAAAGTTATAACCTCATTTTCTGCAAATTCATCTGTCAGGTAATTCTGAACTACTCTGAATATTTTACTGTGAGCAGAGGCAAGATTGGAGTAGGTGAGACTGAAGGAAAATACTCCTGGTACATGACGTGCCCATCAGAATCAGCTGGATAACCATAAACATCCTGTTTAAGAATTCTATTCAAAAAGGAGAAAAAAAAATAAGTCAGTTTTCACGTTGTCACATAGATTTAATTCCTCACTTGAACTTTTTAATTCATTCTTCTAGATCAAGAGTGTTTAGTTCTTCTTCTAGTTCATCCAAGTCCTCTCCAGTAAAAAGATTTTCATCAACTGGAACTGCATCAATGACTCCATTTTCCAACTCCCCATCTCCATCATTATCTTCCTCTAAATCATTTTGCTCACTGCTGTTTATATCACCACCAGAAGCTTCACTTAATTTATTATCTGAAAATAAAAATAATTCTTACACATTTCAGTGTCACAAGTTTGTTAATCACTAGCTCACAACCCTACTAAACAGGCTGTAAAGTTTTGAAACTATAAAGAAATTAGTTTATTTAAAATTTATGTACATTTGTATTGGTTAAATTGCATGTACCTGATTAATATGAAAAAAATAACTCAAACTCCCAACTCATCAAACTGCTGTTTTCACAACTGGGTCAAACTTAATGAGCTGCTCCTACTCACGTCTACGCTTAAAACACTCAGGGTCTTAAATATCAGGGTACACATTCCACAAGCACACGAAGATCAAGACTTTGCTCTAAGAAATTGCAAGCTAACTTAAGCTAGCTAGAATATGAAGAAAAGCTTGGATTTCATGGGTATTATTTATTCAGTCATTTACTAAATCTGAAAAAAAGAGAAACTGCTAAAACGAACATCTTAAGGATCTACTTGAAGCAGCCATAAACACTACCTTTTATTTAAACTTCAATTGAAAGTAATTTCACCCCCCACTTGTTTTTAGAAAAATACTTCTTTTCAGCAGATCAAAAAAAAAAATTCCTTTTGGGAAGCTCTTAATAATTCCATCTTGTATTAGTGATTCCTGAATAACGAACTTACCATCTTTCTCTATTGAACCGTACGTGCTGAATCGCTCAGGACTAGCCACAGTGATACCAGTCTCGTCCACAGCCTTTGGGACATACAGGTTCAAATCTACATCATTTACGCACACAGGGTCTTCCATCTGAAAAATAAACCAAGATGCCCTGCATGAATTACTGTTTACAGAAATTCTCATTTCTGCAGGATTGCCATAAAATTTTTTCAGTCTTCCTTTTGACACCAAAATTTGACAAGACACACCTTGCAGCAGTGTTAAATTAAGAACCAGGCTTACTGATTGCAATATAAGAGCTCTCAAATTAAGTTTTCAAACTTGAATGTAACTTGCAATACTACTCAAGCTAATACTGCTCTTTACCTCATCATCTTCTCCCATTCCTTGAATATAATGGGTGTCATCTGCTTCTTCATCATCTGCATCAACCAGCTCTGGTCGGAACTCAAATACTTCACGTCCACTAATCTAGTCACATAAAAAGAAATCTTAATTTATTACTTGATAGAATTTATACTGCTGCGGGAAAAAAAAAAGAAGAAAGAAAAAAGCAAAGCAATTCTAGGTCAGCTACCTTATTGCAAAACCTTATTTACTCTTTCTTGTTACATTAAGAATTGGAGTGCAGAACATACCACCAGTGCTTTGCCAGCTTTAAAATCTGCCTTCCTCCTCTCCATATCTTGCTCAGCCTTATCAATTTTTTCTTGTCTTTTTCTTCTCTTCCATGCAATAAAACACTCTAGGGTAATTTTGGTAACATTTGGTCCTAAGGCAGCACGCTGTCAAGTAAAGAGACTGATTAATGCTAGAAATTGTTTCCAAAGCCTATAACAAATTAGAGATTTAATTACTCTTCTCCAGAAACTAATTGAAAACATTTCTTGCTAATTCCTTCTTCACTCTCACCACTGTTAAACATGCACCATCAAATTCAAGTTTGACTCAGCACATGATTTTCCAGTTACTGAGGTAAGTTGACATGAAAGTTAACATGAAAAGTGGAGGAGGAAAGAACCCAATGATAATAGCTCAGGTTCTCCTCAAACTGACAGGGCCAGGCAATGGTGACAGAATTCAGGAGTGCAGCAACATAACGCCTTCAAGAAGGCCCCGTTCTCTTCGTCTGGCTTCCTCATTACAGAGTTATGTGAGAACTATGGAGGCAGTGAGTTGGGGATGAAAAAGGCTCATAGAAACCATTGTAATAAATAAAGGAAAAAATAGCAGTAAGCAATAAAAGCCTCCTAAAAATGGATTAGCAACACCTACACTAAATATGCAGCTATAGTTTAACCTATTCACTAGGTAATAGCTTCTAAACAAAAACATGAATCAAATACTAGACATCCTTCACCCTAGCTCATATAGCTATAAAAACATTTTATGCTTTTTAATTATTAATTAGGAAGTTATTTACAACGGTTTCTTCACAGTAACAAAAACAAATACCACCAAAAGGTACCTGTCTGACAACTTTACCTCTTTTTCTATTAGATCTTCTAAAGAAATTTCATCTTGCTTTTCCTCCTTCTTTTTGTCTTTTTTTAATACAAAACCTGGAGGGAGAGCATGGCGATACATGCAGTTGTCTCCTCCACCTGGACAGACCCAAAACCATCCGTATTTGTTGTTTTCAATAGCATCAAGGAAATATTTGCAGACCTGTATAAAACAATGGTTATTAGAGCTGCATTCTCTTTTTCCATCCCCACCAATTTACACTACATGGATAGCTGCTACCTGTCAAAGTACAGTAACTCAGTGCTCAAAACAGAAGAAATGTGAAATGCATTGCTCCTAAAAAAGCAGACACAATAAGTGCAACTGATTATCTAAAACTCATGTAAATCAACAGCTTTTTCCCCTTAATATATTCCCAATTTAAAAAGACAGGATTACTCAGATGACTGACAACTGTGTACTACTGTAAGCCCAGCTGCACATGTCAAAGCATGCTGACAGTCTATCTCTTCCTGCTTACCATCAGTAGAGTTTAAATCAAAATAAATTGAATCTACCCCAGATGTTAAACCTTCCAGCTCATGATCCTGAGGTAAGTATGCCATTCTGGAACTTTTAATAAGCAATTTATAGTTCGTGCTTTAGCCATATCAAAGTTTAACTTCTGCAAATTTAAGCAGTATCAATAGAATATTTATTTGGTACTGAAAACAAGGTGAAATAGCTCTGAAGCATGAAGAAGAGATAAAGAGATAATACCACTTAGTGCACAAGCTAAATAATATTATTGAAGTTAGAGGTCAGGAACTACAAATGACTCTCAATTGGTAAATTTCAGCTTACAGGAGAAAATATAAACTTACATGCTTGTATGTCACCCAGTGGAAGAGATGACAGACCAAGCTAATCACAATATTTGAATCTTTTAAGCATGCATTGGATATATTACTGATTGTTTTAGCATTTCTATTTTTAAAGCACTTAATCTACTATTCATTTATAGTTTATGATGAGAAAGTGTTTCAGGGTGGTTTGGGTTTTTTTAAATAAATTATCAGAAATACTATCAACCAAACTGTATACTCAGAATATCGCTGTAATATTCCATTCAAAGTCTTTACATAATGATGACCATATCTAATGTCTGCAGTTAATTCTCTCTACTACAGCTCAATAATTAAAAAAGGACATACTATTTGAGTTTTGGGTTTTTTCTTTTCCGCCTCACCATGCTTCTTGTTCACCACTTCTTCCAGCTTCTTCTCATCCCAGTTATCCATTGTATCTAGAAAAAGAGAAGAAATGCCTTCACAAAAATTTCCAAATACTGAACAATGCTGTCAAGTTGCTTTTCTTCCTAATAACAGCTTTAATATGCAATTTTTGCATTTTAGTTAGTTTACAGAACAGAAAACAAATTCAGGCTTTCACAATAAAGTTTTCAAACTCTCCTACGCTGCTCACAAGACAATTTCCTCAAAAGCCCTAGAAATTTCTATTTTGACATGCATGGAGTGCATTGCAGTTAAAGACTAAAAAATGTGTCACTCCATCTGTACACTACTGAGCATGGACAAGGGACAAGAAGAAAAGGAAAATGACTGAAAAAAAGAGAAAGTTGGAGGCTGATGTCCAGAAATGCAGATAATATACCTTGAGGATTGAAAGAGATAATATCAAGCTTTCTCTGTTAAAGTTAAAAGAAGGGACCACACCAGCAAAAGAAGCAAGATCACCAACAGTAACAGTGGTTGTGAATCTATGGGATCCTGTCATATTCATTTAGGACAGCACAGGCTAAAATTCAAATAAAGACCAAGACCTGATGAATTGTGGAAAAACAAAATAAATTTTTATTTACTATAAAATCTCTAATCCCTGCTAAGTAAAGTAAAATCCAGAGTAGACTGCCAACAAATGATTTGGGGAAAGGAGACTTAAGTCACAGAAAAAACTCCAAAGCATCCTGAATTCTAGAACTGTGCACATTTGGGCAAACACTAGTAACAGTTCTGTAAGGCAGCTATGGTGGCTCATTACATTTCCTCTTTTTGCACTTCTGTTTCAGAGTACTTAGAAGAAACCATTAACTGTAAGACCGACCAAATACTGTATGATTTACACAGTAGAATTTAAAAACCACCATCCAATATCACTAGGCCATACTTCTTTTTCTAAAGAAGGTCTAAAGAATGCTTGTGAGCACAATTTTTAAAGCAAGTTTCACTGTTGTTCATAATTTTGAACGTAGTGGTATGAGTTGCCTTGGTCATTGACCAGGTTCTTCAGGATCATAACCACAACACAATAAGATTTTTAACCTTAGAAGTCCAGTTTCAGAATCAGAATAGTTTAGTAGTAATTTGCTAGAAGTATTGTACCTTTTTCAAGGTCTTCATCTCTTGCATCAATGTAGACACTTCTTTTCTCACCCTTCCTTTCCAAAGACAAATCATGAGAAAACTTGCACTTGTCTCCTTTAGTGCATTGTCCTTGCTTGAAGAAAGCACAAACTACAGATTTGGGGTCAGCACCTGAGTGAAGAAAGTTTTTATATTTTAATACTATTTTAAAGGAAAAGCGGTATATTAAAAGTTCTGAGAACAATGTCTAGGATCATACAGTCTTTAGGATATGTAGAGAATGAAAACACGTTTTTAAAAAGGGAAGTTATTCAAAGTTCAGCACATACTCCATGTCCTGAACATGTCATACTTACTTTGTATAGCATGATATTTGCACTAAGTATCAATGCTGGCGCTTGACTATTTAAAGAAATACAGAGAGCAGTGTGCCTGAGTGAATTACTCATTCATACAATACCAACAAGATACAACTCTGTGCAACTTTTTTTTTTACAATAAGCTATTTTTGCCTCTAATACACAGTAAAGCGTCTTCTGGATGTCAGCCTTTCCTTAATAGATCAACAACACACTAGAATAAATTATAAAAATCTAACCTGTACTCATTCAGACCACTTTATTTAATAATAGAAATAAGATGACTACTTATAGCCCCCAAAATAAGTAACTGTTACTTTAGTATGAACTACTCAAACTAACTACAGTTTAAGTAAATATCATCCCACTAAAGGAATGATTAGATCATTAGGAGGTGAAAAAATAAATTAAAGCAAGTTGAAATGTATTTATGAGACATGACTAAATCAGAAATGCTTTATTTGTCATATTCATTAACTGCTCATCTAAGGTTTTTAGCTCAAGCTTTTCACTTGCTAATTTTAAGCTCGGTGCAAGTCACCAGTGGCTAGAGTATGTCCAGCAGCACCTGTTTAAAATCTTAACTAAAAAACTAGTTTTTAAACACTGAGTGGATCCCTAAAAGAACTTCAGGAAATATAGCTTTCCTTGTTGGCAATCCCAACAGAAAGCCAAACCTTTAATTAGGACAACATCAGTCTTCTGAAATAACTTTTAAGTCAAGAGCTACTTCATTTGGAAAAAACTGACCACTGCGGATCATAAACAGAAAATTGGCCTTTGTTGCTAAGTGCCACAGTGAACAAATAGCAGGTCTGCTCTACAGACACGGAGATCACACTTCTTCTGTCAAAAATTATTGTGCATTAAGTTCATTTGTTCCAGAAGATTAACAAGTCAAAGAGTTGATAACATTTGTTCATTCCTAAAAGAATGATTGTTTTTTGTCCCATGCAGCTAATTGTAGAGCTTCCTAGAAGTATCATGTAAACTGACATTTTGTCACAAAACCAGTTTGTTCAATAACTGAGTTCAAGTAAGACCACATTTCCAAAACCAAGTCCTACTGTCAACTGTGAGGTGGGACAGAAGTAATGGGAAAATTTTTACTGTTCTGATTTGAATACTAATTTTCATTTTATATTCCTTGTAATAGTTGGATGTTCAGGTTTCCCTGGGGAGACAGGCTGCTTTAAACAAATACCATCACACACACAAAATCATGCCACTCAACCATAATTAACGACCCTGAATATAGCAAAGTAACTATAGCTGCCCTGTCAATACCAATGTACCTTTCCATATCATAATGATCTAATAACACCAGATGACTTCCTAAAAAGAAGTCAAATTGTTACTGACAAACTACTTGGTACCCTAGATAGAGAAGGAAACAGACCAATCTACTTCATTTAAAAATGAACTGGCATTTTCAAAGGGTTATTCTACCTGAAGTAGCTACATGAATAAGAGAACACGAAGAGAATTCAGTTACTCATACCTTTGCTAATTTTCTGTGCAGCAACCACAGGCTTGAAGAGTTCATTTAATTCTTGTAATTCTTTTTTCTTATCTTCTTTTTTTAATTTCTTCTCACTTTCTGTTTGAGCAGCCTATAATGACCCCAAATTTGAAGTTATTAATATATCATTAGAATGACATTACTCACTTCACATGAACTATACATTAAAATAGCAAATAATTTTAAATTAGTTTATAAAGGGAGGAAGGAGAGAACCTATGATTTCTGAAATTCTCAGAATTCCTGCCCCTGCGTGAATGGCCAGTGCCCTCTAGTGGTACTGATCTTTCAAGCAAAAGAGACTTCAAATGCATTTTCTCAGAGATGCAAGATGCTGGGAGATACCATTAGAGGACAGTTACCTCTATTCCACCTTCACAGGCTAGGAAATCAAATGTAAGATGTTGACACTAAGGAGAGGAAAAGTTAGTTGCTCTCTTGTGATACATTAGCAGTGTAACTCCTCAATGCAGTTACTTCAAGATCTGTGCAAAAAGCTCTATCTTTAGTTCCTTACATGCTGCTCTGTTCTTTTTCTTCATGTATACCAGCAGCACGTCACGAAATTTGTCTGTTGAAGTTAGGAACTACTTTAGGAAAACTTTTTTGTTTGAATTTGTATCAATTCATTGATAACAAATGGATTATAAGACAAGAACATTCTTTTTATAGGTACTAGTGGCCAAGGAGTGAAAAACAAGCTCACCTAGGACACAAAAAGTTTGTATATAAGGAAAAAAAACCAAAAACCCAAAAACAAACCACTCCAAAACCACCCAATTGTGACGCTGCATTACCTTTTTCGGATAAGCCAGAAAAGGCCTGTATCTCTACCAGAGGGGTAGAGAGGAATGCCAACAGATGAAAGACAACACAGGAGAAACATTATTAGATCATTTGATCCTTATCCCTAAGGGAAGCTAGTGAGACTAGCATCACTATACAAATGTGAGGTACTTTATTGATAAAAGACAGTATAATATTAAAAAAGGAGCTTTGTTCTTATGGTGAATTTGTCAAGAAAATGCCAACTGTTTTAAAAGGGAATTGATTAGTTTGGTCCACATAGAGAACACTCAGTTTTTAAGTCCACAAGTCCTATTTTACACAGCACACAGACCCTCATATGTCAACTGCAAAAAGGAGTACTTGAAGAACACTTTTGTTCCACCCCAGGGTTCTAAAAGCGTGAAGATGAAGCTTGCCTTTTTTTCTTTTTAAACAAAAAACCTTGACAGCATTTCCATATGTATCCCAGGACACAACAGTAATTGATAATTCCTTTGAAGTGTTCTTTCTTTCTCAGGGACAACCCTAACCGAAAAACATTTTACAGGGTAAGAAAGGTATAATTAGGTCTAAAAATTAGCTTCTGACATCCACCAGTCAATAGCTAAGAACATTTGAGAAACTATTTTAGGTTGGCTAATGTACATACTGGTGTTCCATTAACTGCTGCAGAGATTTCATATAGAAATTTCAGAAAAACTGTTTGAGTAACAGCAATGTTTCTGAAGTGACATCAAGCAGTCCTTTCCACTACAATAGAGTGTTAGATCTGATGACCCAAATATCAACTCTATCTTTAAAGTTGTACTTGACATTTGTTAGCTTATCCTTATGTTACGCAAGGAATTGAACATAAATTATGACATCATCAATTTACCTGATGCAAATATAATGCTCTACCGGCTTATTCATAGAACAGGAAGCTGCATAAATACTTAACGACCAGCTTCCCTAGTACCTTAGGAATAAGAGACCTGACTCACTTCCATTATAAAAAGATGTTAATGAAATTTGTGCTCTCTGACTAAGTGTAATCTAAACATTGTGTCTCTGCTGCATCACCTTTTACTTCATCACACAAAAGAGGAACAGCGTAGACTAGAAAGTGGCTCAAAATTTCAGTTTCTTTGACCAGTTCACCAAACAGATGCAGACTTGTAATTTAAAATGGAAACAAGCCTGACAATAAATACTTCTATATCATAGAAGAACAAGTGGCACTTACGGGCTTACACATTTTTTTTAATTTTCCCCCAATTCCAATTTTAATATTAGTAACAACTACTCTTATTTTTAATGGTTCACTATTTCTTCAATTAGGTGGGAATAAAAGAGAAAAAAAGAGAAAGAACATATAACTGCACTTTGCTGTTAGACAGTTTCTACAATTTACTTTCAGGTATACCTTAAACTCCATTACGTTATTATTAGAATACTGTGTAAAAAACCACACACCCTTATTAGTCAAGTTTGAGTTTGGGTTTTTTGGTACATAATTCTCAGATAGACAAGCTTTGAAAGAAGACCACCTCATTAAATCTGTGATAGTCACAATACATTAGGCAAGTAATACCTCAACTTTTTTCTACTTCAATATGATATAACAATCTATATGTATAGTGAAAGATTATTTCACTATGCAGTGGGAAAACTTAGAGATTAAATGCTTACCTGACGTGGATTTTGTTGACCAAATTTAACCTGGTGAGTCACAGCCTTGATAAATTTCTGTTGTTTTGCACCTTTTTTATTCTTCAGGCCAAATGTTTTGTCCTAAATCAAGAGATAAATACAACAAAATTAATTGAAATTGTCCAACAGTTGAAACAACTTACATTGTTACAAAAAAAAAAAAAAAAAAAAAAATTGCCACTCCTCTCAGGTTTTTAGTTAAACACAGACTATTCTCTGTAGCAACACAAGCAATCCAAGAAACAGCAAGGACAATATTTAGACTCCTCATGTTGTCATCTTTAAAATTTGCTTTCCAAAAGAACCTACTAAACGCTGCTTTTGTGTGAGCTATTGCTTTTATCACCAGACCTACTTGTGTACAAATACTAGCATGAGCGTATACACACAGTGTTTTCAGGCCCCTCAAAGCAGAAGGACAAGATGTTTTTCGTGACTACCCAAGTAACACCCGAGGAAAATAAAGACTGAATAGCAATAAATACTGCACTTTTCTGCCTATCTACCTGAAATCACTTATGACTTTTATCTTCAAGTATTCCTATATAAATGCTACATATTTGTTATGAGGATTAATATTGCCACATGGAACATATTACTTTTGATTTTCAAGTATTTTAAGCATTTCATTTTCTAACTGTACTAGCTTGAAGATAAGTCTTTCCCCTATGTCAAGTCCAGACAGGTGTTTGTACTTCCTAAACTCCACTGCAAGAAGTTTCTGTTTACTGCCTGAAACAATTCTTCCTCTGCATCTCTAGTTTTATTGTTAGAGACACATTACTGCATCAAACCTATTAAAAATTTCATTAAAAAATAAAACTTTCACACAACTGTCTAAAGCAGAAATTACTTTCTATAACTGAAATACATACATTAGAAACCTATCCATGACTCTGATTCAATACCAATGTTTTCTTCCTTCCAGGAACAAGTAACAGATGTTCATCCAGTGATAATACCTCAGTTCAAACATACTTTTGGAAACTATATTAGAAAAGAATTATAGAACAAACAGTTCCCAATTTCCAGAGTTACCCTGTTCTCATTTACATTGTATCCCCTATCAACAGCAGATACTAATTTGTAAAGTCTGTAATTTGTCAAAATAAGTATTTGAGTAAGAAAACAGAGCATTCACGTACTTGATTTCTGTGGCAAATGCCACATGGAATATATAAAGTTTGTGTATTTGAATTATGTAATAAATTACTGTAAATAATCAATGGGGGTCCTCATGGGGTATTTCAACCACCCTG